TGTTAGAATTTACACGGTACCTCCGGCAAGATGAGAGTGACAAAAACAAAAAAAAGCAGCAAAATAGATGAAAAAAGCGATCCGGTTACAGGAGCGTACTGACATTACCAACGACAACGAATCACATGAGCAATTTTTCTGCAAGACTATCTTCAGTTATGTGGAACAAAAAGCGCATCGTACACGCACACTCTCTCACACACACACGTACATAGAAGCACTAGACTCCTAGATTCACACAAACACAGTACAAGCGCAATTTATGAGACAAAAATCAACGTTCACACCCAACATGCACCAAAACAGCCTTATTACACATATAATTTATGCTGTCGTTTGTTTTTTCGTAAAGCGTTTGGTGTATGTGTTTTGTTTTCTAAGCAGACACACAAGCTGAGTGCTCCTATTGTCGATATATACATATTCGTGATGTTGTATGCCAACAAAACCCTAAGAGTTTTATGCACTCGATCTATACACACACACACCCTCAACATATTCACTGGCATAGAGAATCGAGCACGACATATTCACACCAAAAACAAAGCAATTGATGATGGTGGGAAGAAGAAGAGCAGAAAAAAATGAACAGTTAGTAATAAACAAAACAAAAAGCCACCAACAAAAAGCTACTCATACAAAAGTTGAAAGCAAAAGAAAACTAAAACATAATCAACAGTAACAACGGTGGCAGTGCGCGGCAGCGGTAGCGACGGCAGTAACAACAACAACACAATCACATTTCGCTATACTCTGTCTCTCGGCCAAGAATGAAAACGATAGAAAGAAGAAAATATACTGCATTGTAACGTCAAGAGCCACTAAAACCAAATCAAAACCGAAAGCAAAACAAAACAAAAACTCGCATCCATTTTCACCGGTGAAATATGCACGCGTTGAGTGAGTGCATTTGAAAATGTTAACTACTCCATGGATGAATATAATGTATTCATCCTTGACAACACAAAGTACCAGGAAAAGAAACAGTCAAAACCTCCTGAATACATGAAGCTCCACAATCGCTCTCACTCACTCTTATGCTATGGCATTCTTTCGGTTTTTTCCCTTTCAGTCTCTCGTTTTCCTCATAATAATGCATGTATTTTCGCCAAAGTTAAAAACATTTTGTGATGATGAAAAGCCCAACTCGTGCCATACATTCACGAGGCAGAGCATAAACATAAAGACACATAAAGTTCGAGAGCGAGCCTCATACACTCAATGTTAACAACCACAAACAGCAACATAGAAGCAACAACAGTAGTTGTTAAAGTGGCAATGGCAACAGTGAATATTGAGGATAACACACAGAGATAGAGAGATAGAGAGAGAGAAAGAGAGAGAGAGAGAGAGAGAGAGAGAGAGAGAGAGAGAGAGAGAAGGAGAGCACGGAGAGGAAAAACAAACCAAAAATCCCGAAGTACATAAATATGTTAAACAACATAAAGAAATGTGAACTACGGCAAATGAATAAATGAATGAATGAAAACCGAATGTAAACGGAATAATAAGATTGTACAAAGAGTATAACAAGCAACATACTGAACAACAACACCATCATCAGCCCGAAAACGAACAAATATGACGATTGCTTGCACCAAATCATGTCAATGGTACTGCATATTTGGCCCCGTTTGTTTTTATAATATTAGTTAAACATTTTTGCTTCTACAACGGCACTATAATGTATGCGTTTGAATATTGTGTGCTTTGATGTGTAAATTCAGTGCATGCATAAAAATCGTACAGCATAGATTTGTACGATGAACATTTTTCATTTGGTTTGTCTTAACATTGTTGGGCGGTGAATGTTTAGTGCGCGCATTCACCACTCAAATAATCTCAGCACACACACACTGCTAAAAGACACGATGTGTTTTTTTTCTCGTTTATTTGCCTTTGTTTGTGTTCAGAAATAATATTTATTCAAACATCATTGTTTGTTGAGAAAAAAAAGTATCCGTATTTCCGTTTATTATGCGCATCGAGCTTACTTGCTCATAAAACAATAACAAAAACATTGCTTTAATTACGTATGCGATGAGAGAGAGAGAGAGAGAGAGAGAGAGAAAAATATTGCAATTTTTTTTCTCTCGTTCCGCTTTTAAAGTAGCACATTTGAATGTGTGCTTTTGCAGTCGGCAAGTTGTCGTATCCGAACTGGCTCCACCCAAGCGTAGAATTAGTGATTTTGATTTGAAGTCCATCAACTATGAAAAATCATCACATTGTCCACTTTTTTTCACTTTCCATCCACCGTGCATCGCATGAAATGAGCAGAGAGAAAGCAAGCGAGGGAGAAATTGCGAGAGCGAACAAGCGAGTGCAGACATATAGCGGAGAGTATGAGAAAAAGTGAGCGGAGAGAGATCGAGATGGAGAGGAAAGAGATAGGAAGAAAGGGAAAAAAATAAATATAACATGTAGAGATATGAATATTGCTTTTTATGGGATATTTGTGTTGTCTGGCGGTGAGAACTATTTTATTTGTGTTTGCATTCATTAAAAATAAATTCGCAATCAACAACAATGTGAATTGAGTGAGTGAAAAGCGACGCCGCAATAAAGAGTAAAATTAAAAATGACAACCAAAATAGATCCACACGCATGGACAAAATTAAATACCCACCAAAAACAATTTCAAACAATAATTTATTACGTATTTTGGCCATGTGGTATGTCGCACCAACAAATCGCATCATGTATATCATTGTACATCTGATGGCTTTCTGCAACTGCACACCCAGCCATTTTGCTGTGCTGATGCATATTTTGCATGGTTGTTCCATATTTATGCATTTTGCGCGCTGCTTATAATCGAGTGGCAGTGTCGCTGGATACAACAAGGCGCACACACACATACACACGCTGATGGCTTATGCAATATTTCATTTCAATTTCCTTGAAAACAGCCACATGTAAAACACGCTGCTTTTCATCATTCACAATCGCACATGACATATGGCGACTGTGAGAATGAGGATGAGAATGGGCTATAGCGAGAATTTTGATCGCCAACCAGTCAACCAGGCAAGCGAATAAGTGAAATAGTTCTTATATGAAAGTGTGTGTACATTGCCAGTGTATACATTGTATGTTGTACAGCATAATGGTGTACAGGACTTCAGTATGATATTAATAATCGCAATATTGTCGCTCTTAATTTTAATTTTCTCTACTTTCCACACTTTTTCCCATCATTTTATCCCATTGTTCAATAGTATTTCTTTCCATGTTTCGCGTACAATAATCAAATGTCACAAACGTATTCTCGTATCAAACCAATGTCATTTCATCATGTTCATACGTACGTACATTGAAAATGAATTTTACTGTGGTTGTCGGTTCCGATGTTACGAATGACTTTTAATAAATTTTTCGTCGACGGATTTTTTTTTGTGTTCGGTTGAGATTCCTTTCAAATCAACTAGAGAATCAAGAAATATTCGTTCCATTTACCGTATAGCGTATAAATTTATTAATAAATGGAACACGTAATAAGTTTGCGTCAATTAAGCTTTGGCTTTTAGTGTTCGTTCGTTGATCGTGCTGTTGCCAATTAAATTCGATAAAGCGCGTTAGTTGCTCCACATTTCCTCTGCTACCGCTCTGCGTTCAATCGTTGTCGCACACATACATACAATTGTGCTTTCAAAAACCTCTCGATTCATTTTTCATAATAATTTTTATTCTCCCTTTGGCGTGCCACGAATGAATAATATACAAAGTGGCACACAAAATGCTTGATTGTGTTTGAAATGTTGGCAAGCTTTAATATCCCATACACTTTTATGCGTTTGATATGCGTGCAAGTGTGCTCTTTGTGTAACATGAATACTTCCACATGGGAAAACAAAAAGTGTTTCCAGATTTGGTGTTTGGTATTTTTGGTACATTCAATGGTCGGTTTGGTCGTTCGTTTCGTCGTTCGATTCGTTTGATTTAGTTACAAAACATACACATATACACGCTACATAACGTAATTAGAATTATGATTCAGCAATAAATTCACATCGAATATAATCAACGCGGCACACACTCCCACACACCGGCCACCTCGCATATAATAAAGCAATGGGCGATTGGTGGAAAAAGCCAAAATCTAATCGCTTCGGTTTAATTGCATTTTTATGAGCGTTTCGAGAGTGTGTGCGAGCCGAACACTTGATTGCCTTTGTAATTGCAAAAGTGAATTGTACCGGACACTGAATTTCGTGTAAAAACAACCAAATCATAGATTTAAATTGATATTTTTTGTAACGATTCCAAGGCTATATATAATTATTTCGAGTATTGTGGGATGCATGTTTGAAATAATGTCGAATCATTTCAGCACATATTTTATTCATATAATTGACAACATTCAGATTTGATGCGGTATTCGTTCACATTTTAAATTCAAATCGAAATCCATAAAAACGTATCACTTTTCATGTTATATGAAAAATTTAATTCGCTTATTATTTTGATGTAATCAAACAACGAAAAATTGAGAGAGAGAGAGAGAGAGAGAGAGAGAGAGAGAGAGAGAGAGATGTGGGAAAAAGGAGAGACGCAGGGAGAAAATTGACTCGTTAATTGATGGATTGTTCGTTAAATATCATGTCAAAAATTCCAAGTTGAGTTTCAAATATTGTTGACATCATCATGTCGTTGGGTACCGTCAACAAAAAATCATCAGGTATGAACGCAATTGGAATCTAAATGAATGGATAAAAAGTGAAGAGATGATTTTTCTCTCTTTTTTACCCAATTCTTTCTCTCCCTCTTTCTCTGTATCTTTCGAACTCTATTTGGATTTGAGAACATATGAGTTTTCAATGAGGATTTTCATTGTGTCAATATGACTTCCATGAGAACTTTTTTAGCGCTTTATTTTATTGGTATGTATGTCATGTAATGTGAAATGAAGAAAATGGAAAATCTTCTGCTAACAACAGCATCACCTTCAAACAAAAAACTTTAAAGAATGAAACGAAATGGAACTATTAATAACTTACCTTTTAGAATACAACATGTCGTTAAAAAATAAATGATCATAATATTCGTCATCGTTGCGATGTCCTTTTTTCCTGTTCGTTCCAATGGTACTCTACACGTTTTATCAATAATTCAAATACGATTGCAGCTTAAAAGACCTGCACTTCGCATTGCATTGAGACGAGAAAATCGAAGTAAAAAAGAACTGCTGATGGAGATCGTGTATATTTCTCTTCCGGTCGGTATGTTGTGTTCGATTCGTTTAAATTGTTCAGCACTGTGCACTTTTCTTTTCTCTCACACTACTTTCGTTTGTTCGTGTGCTTTTTTTTTTGTTCACTTTGATTTTCAAGTCAGTTTATTATTTCTCTTCGTTTCCGACTTCAGCTAGTTTAGTACACCGAAGTTTTTGCTTTCAGTTTCAATTATTTTATTCTTTTGATTTATTGATCTCCTGGCTGTTGATGTCTCTGGCTGCCTTCGCAACCATTCACGTACATTCACCGTACATTCTCCTGTTTTCATATGATTTTTTGTTTAAATTCAAAAGTGTTCGCTTTTTTATGAGTGTGTATGTGTGTCTGGGGTGAGTAGAACGCCTGAGCTCACCGCATTCATTACATATTATATCCCATAGTAGTTAAAGCGTGCATAAAATACGTAATATTCATTTATAAAATTGTACTCTATTGGAAAATTGAAGAAAACTGACAACAACCACTTCAAGTTCGGTGCTTTCATATGTATATATGAAATGAAAAAGACACTCATTCAATGCTTGTACATGAGGAATGTCTGAAACTATTCAAGATATAAAATAAGAAACGAGAGAGCACACCGATGAGAAATGAAAAGGAGAAGAGAGAATGAAAAAAATATATATAGATATATCCTATACACACATCCAAGTGCACGGCGTAGAAAATCAACAAAAGCAACGAATAGCACTTATGAAAACTATGCACACATACACTTAATCATGTGTTGTGAGTGGCAGCAAGCGTAACTATCAAACAGTCGCCCGAAGTAAGCGTTTGCTTGTTTTTATACTCCGTTTATTCACTTAAAAACTTCGACTTCTCTACTCTATCTCTCTATCTCGGTCTTGCTACCCGACTCTCTGGATCTTTTCACGTTCGTTCTTCTTTGGAACCGAATAATATGCCACGTCTCACATATACACACGTATTTCACTCTTCGAGTACTAGTCAATTGCAATTAGCGATAATTTTCTATTTTCCAATTTTTCAATTTTCCAAGTAAAACCCTTCGGTTACGTTTTTCATGTCATAGATAAACTTTTGTTATGCAGAGCTTAACTGAAACCGTTACTCGCACTGAGACGCATTAAATCACTTCCCATTTAATAGTTTTGCGAAGCGATAATTTTTCGCCGCCGTACAGGATTCGCGTTGCTTTGCAATTAACTGCGTTTGCGTCTCTCTCTTTTTTCATCCAAATCCCACACTTATGTGTGTTTGTTCGTTTATTCGTTTGCGCAATTGTTTATAATCAGCACACTAATTATCCCTGATGGTGCACTGGTTTTTGGTAGCTCTTGTTGTTGTCGTCGTCGTTTTGTTTGCCCATTTGCTGCGCGCACCCTCTTCCGATTTTCAAGCAGCCGGATGGAAAATTGATGATATGCTGTGAATATACACAAGGTTCAATTGTTAATAACGTTTAACTCTGTTTATCATTTTGTTAATAAATTTATATGTATAAAATATGAGCGAAAATAAATACTGAACTACAAAATATGATTAAAGCCCATGTTCAGGCTTGCCGTATTAGCATATCGCATTTCGTTACAAACGTCGGAACCGTTGATACATTTTGGATACGGAAGAGTGTGTCATTGTTAGTGTGCTCTAATTTTTTAATCAAATCCCAATATATTCATAGTTACATACAATACACAAAGAGAGAGAGAGAGAGAGAGTAGCTTTTGTGCGATTGAGAGTCTATGAAAAGGTTGTCGAAGTGTATTACATTCTATATTGCAGAATGCACGATCGATGAATCAACAAATACTTATGCTAGTGCCAACATTTAAATGAACGAAGAATGACGTTGGATTTAAGCTTGACTACATTTAAAGGGTTCGGAGTGAAGAGAAGCAACAACCACTACCACATAACCACCATAATCAGCCAACAAAAAGGAAAAGTGTGAGCATACAATAAATAAAAGCGACAACAAGACCCCATAATACCCATCTGGAAAACGGAATGAGCACGAGAAATTACGTGACGAATAAAGCGCACGATGTGTATAAACAGCTCGCTCGCGATTACAATGAATAGTCTATAAGTGCGAGATTTTCGCCGATTTAATAAATATATTCCGGCTCTTCGTTATTCTTTATCGCGCGCCTTTTTCTATCACTCTCAAATGGGTCACGAATGGTGAACAGTGCGCTGTGCAAGCCTCTCCGAAAAAAAAATGGAACAAGACGAGTGAGAAAAAGAGAGAAAAAAACAACAAACTGAACCAAATGGAATTATCTAGAGTGTAATATTCATCATTCGGCAATGGCACGACTGTGAAATGTATCAAGTACGATTCAGGAAAAAAAGCGAAGAAAGTTTTTTATGCAAGGCACAATTTATTTTTATGTTTCTTTTCTCTCTCTCTCTCTCTCTCTCTCTCTCTCTCTCTCATCGTTTCGGTCGCTGTAATATGTTGAAATGGGGACAAAAAATAAGAAACGTAGACGAAAACGTGCAATTTCGTTCGCTCTTGATGGCATTTACAATATTTATTAAAAAATTATTTTGCATTTGGGTAGTAGATTAAATAATCATCAGCGAGCGAAAAGAGGGCGAAAGAGAATTTGAATTACCGATTAAATTCAATTTCCAACCACAACAGCACGTATGAATAAAGCAAGCAAATTGTCGCCCAGTTTGAGTCACCTCGTTCGGGAGGAGAACAAAATATTCGGGTGGCATTTGAGAGACTTTCAATGTTTATTTGGAGCCGTTTTCTCTTTTTTTTATTTCTACGCTGCAAGAATGAAAACTCGAAACTATGGATGAGTGAAAGAAAGGAAATTAATACTTCAAAACGACACACTTTTACTGAATTATGGCTCCAATTTTTCTCTTTCTTTCTCTTTAATTCTCATTTTGATTGATTTTGCAAACAATGTTTCTGGGAGGGCAGTGAATCGAATCGATTAATGTAATATTGAATAGGGAAAATTCAAAACAGCATAGAGAAACAAATCAATGAAAAACATTATGTAAAAATAAATCTCAACAACTTCCAAACCAAAACAGAATCGAATGCAAATGAAAAAAATAAACCAAAAAGCAACAACAACAATTCAAGCAGTTTACCGAAAGAAAAATATAAAATGAATTTGAAATTTTTTCTCATTCATTGTTGAAATCAAAAATTAAAAAAAAAATACGTTCCCTCATTCGAAGCGATCCTTATGAATAAATATGGTGTGTCTTTTTTCGACGGTACTCATTTTCTGAGTTTGAGTTTTTCCGACAAAGTAAAAGAAAACAAATTTCCACTCGACCAATGGCACGGCACAGCAATTTAATGAATCAATATCTACAAACTTTTTGGCTTGCGAGTAAATATGAAGAGGCACTTGTGTTTACTTCCATCAGAATATTGATATAGAAGAGGAAAAACAATCGTCAAATGGACGACGGCACAAGAGTCAAAAGGGGACGGGTGGAGTGAAATGGAGTGGCGACAACGGGTACAAGACAAAATTGCGATTGAGACAAGCAAACTGAATTGACTCAAAGATGTGAAAACCATATGGAAAGCCAAATTCAATTGTCTTTCCAATTGAAAGTCAGCAGTAGCGACGATGACGACGACGGCAGCAGTAATAACATACAAACCATTACACGATCTCGAAAACTTTTCTCTCGACCGAGCTTTGTGTCTGAATAAACAATTCACGTCGCAAACAAAATTTCAATGCAATACGATTTCGATAACATCATCATCATCATCATAGTCGTGAGTGATGTCGTCGCCGTTATTCACCATCTCGTTAATAATGCTTTGAATTGATGTTTTTATATTTATATATTGTTGTTGTTCATCGTGCTGTTTCTCTCGAGCGTACTTAAAAAATGCGATTCGAGAATGAGAAGAAGAGGTAAAGGGACATGGACACATCTATTTTCAGTAACAAAGAGAGATGGAGAGAGAGATAGAGGACGGAAAAGGGCAAGAATGAAGAGAAGGCTATGACAGAACAAGCGTGAAATAGCCCGCAGTGAATAAACACAAAACCAAAACAACTTCATGGCATAAATTACATGTCAACGGATTATTATTTATCCGGTATTTATTATTAGTTATAATTATGTTGAAGTTGGTATATTGGTTATATCTTCTATCATCGGCCGCTCACTGTTTCTAACTTAAACTTTTCGGTTTGACAAATTCAAACAGTGAACTTTTTACTGTAGTATTATGCTATTGAATTGGAAATCCGTATGATTCAGTTGCCGCCATCAAAAATTATTATTGAAAAAGAGTACGCGATGAAAAAATAAATGATTCGAAGCGACAGAAGAAGAGAACAAATAAAAAAAAATAGTCGAACATCCGTTAGCAATACAATGAAGTCTGGTCTATGTGTACACTGGCAATACCAGATTCAGCCTATAAATACGTATTAATAGACTATATTCAGTGCATTCAATTCACTGGCATTATCATTTCGGAAATTCTTCGTTTTGCTTTCTCCTTTCTCTCGGTGCTATATAACAGCAATCAACTGTTATTTTGAGCTTGACATTTGTGCAAAACTTTTGTTTATTTTCATTTCAACAATGCACGCAGATTAAAAAAAAAAGTCGTGAGAGAGCGAATAACAGAAAATAAACACGATCGGAAATTAAAGACAACTAGCATATTGCCATTGCTGGTTCGCTGGATTGTTCCGTTTCGCGTTTAACACACCGTATGGGAAAGAGTGAGTGTGTGTGTGTGCAATCGAAAAGTATACGCTTAAAATGTACACGACTCGCTCAACACGACCATATTTCAAACAAGTTGGAAACGAACACATTCCGAAAATAATAAATTGGTGGTGTGGAAATGAAAAGTGAACCAGTTTCGAAATTCAATGAAGGAATTCACTATGCGAACTACACCGAAAACGCTGAAAAATAAAAATCATAATAACAATAATAAATACTTTTCCCAACCAGTTAACTGTGTACGTTTTATAATACAAATAAATACATGCAACACAAAACATTATCATCAACGTTCGCATTGCTGAACATGAGCACGTATAAATTGCACCATATACAGAGCGACAAAGAGGCAAAGAGAGAAACTGAATTTAATTCATATTTCAAACTGATATTGGTCTAGTTGAGATTCTTGCATTGCAAGCTTTGCGTGTTCAATATTGTGTGTGTGTATGCGCGGATGCGCGTTCGCTTTTAAGAACACGAAGTAGAATGAACGTGAAGAAAACGATGAAATAGAGAGAAAGAGAGAAGGAGTGTGTGATGAGAAGATGTGGAAATTGAAAAATGTGCACGAGGGAACAGCACCAAACATGTTTCGACGAAAGAGCGACAATATTTTATCAACAAATATAAATTATCAACGGGAAAAACTTTCAAACAATAACACAAAGTAAACACATGCAGCAGCGCAGTCTCATACAAAGCTTCTACGTCTGAAAGAGGAAAGTATTTATAGTACGCTGTTTAGTTCACATAACAA